TTTCGTTGGAAAATATTCAACCTTCATTTACAATCCTCAAGCGCTTCTAGAAAGTGAAAAAATGCCAACGTTATCCGTTCGCTGACCTTGTACACAGAGTGCGAAGAGATCCAAGCGTGACACTAAGAAAATTTTCACCGGGCACGGTCTTCGAATAACTAAACGTTCAGCAGTCTGATATTTTTCCATATTTCTCTTTGAAAAATACCGATTTCTACTGGAAGTATTTTATCTTCGTTTAGAATCCTCAAGCGTTTCTAGACAGTGAAAAAATTTGACCTTTGTCCTTTTCGCCGACTCTGTTCACAGAGTACGAAGCGTGACACTTAAAAAAAATTTTCTTCGGATTCTTCAAAATACTGTAAAGAAAGTGTAAAATGACGAACGGCGAATGTATTTACCGTGAAACAGTTGACTATATGTCCAGGATGGCTCTTGAGAAAGACGATTTTGGAAGGTTTTCAGTGATCTGGGAATTTCGTGTTATAAGAAATTGAGTCACGGCGGGCGTTGCATCAAGGTTGGAAATGGGCCTTTAACTTGATCTTCTTTAGGACACTAAACATTCATTCAATTCACTTCAATGGACATTTTCCTTTGACGTCGCATTCTCGAGCTGCATCAAAGAGTAGACACAGATAGTGAAATCTATAAAAGTAGACACCCATGGAACGCTACTTTCCGCTGGCTATAAAAGAGTGAATAGCGCATTTGTAGTGGGTCTTTAATCCCAGAGAGAACAATGTAAGTAACGTGCTATCTGTACAAAAGTTTTTATCATTTTCTTTTTTTTAATTCGTCAGCTTTTGCTTTAAACTGTTACGTCTGCTCATATACTGAAGACGATTGTAAGAAGAGCAAGATGGATGAAAACAAAGCCAACTTTTTACGCAAGTGTTATAACAGCGATAGCTGCTACAGATATTGGTTTAAAAGGAAAGATTCTGATGCCATGCTTGGACTTGGATGTGCTGCCAAATCGACCTGTAACCTCGAAAAGTCCATTTGTGATCAAGATTCGAAAGATGTTCCGGACTACCAATGCGAGGTTAGCTGCTGTTCCGAGGACGGATGTAATACAAGCTCATATGTCACTGTCAACATCATCCTGTTGGCCACTTCCTCTGTCCTGGGCCTAGCACTGCTGAAGTAAGCCGTGGAAGGCTTTACAAGTCTACTTTTCATTTCGCTTATTGCTCGTTTAAACTTATTTGATACTTAGTTGGCGTGGTCACCTAAAGTTTTAGATGCACTCAGTTTTCAGAGCAGTCGGAGCAGCGGAATCTCCCGTGCACGTTTAGCACTTCTGGCAATTGTTATTACTTTTTAATCATTTTGCTGGTTTTAACTTTTTGTTGTTCCATTAATATTTTCGAAATCTATTTTCTGTGGCCTAATTTTGTGTGACTGAATAAAAGGGTGTTCACGATCGTTTCATTCTGAAGCCCATGGTATTGTTATCTTTGTCCTTTTCTTTTTATTTCTCACGTGCATCTTCTAGGGCGCTCGTAATGGCCCAAACACGAGCTATTTGTCCATACACGTCTCGTCAGACGAATGCATTACTTACTCAGCAATTAGCATTTTATCTGATGACCGCCGCTGTTTCTCCTTCTTCCTTTCTTTTCTCTTCTCGCCGCGCCGTGCAATGAAACAAGACTTCTTCTCTGGCCTTTTCAGCCCGCTCAATCTGAGATTTAATAATAACATATTTTTCAAGAAACAAAGTGGACAAATAACAACTGCGGCGTTCATAGGACAAAATGGTTATCAACTAAGTTAGATCAGGCTGATCAGGAAAGTAATTGGTTCTCGGTCATAATGTATAGACCTACGTACGCTCTGCCCGTTTTTCATGACCGTAAGCTTAACATTTCCCTGTCTGGCCCTCCCACCCAATCGCTAACTATATATCTCTATATGATAATTGCTACTTGGTGATTTCAAAAAAGTAATCTGATTGGTTTGCTATTTCGCGCTAATGAACCTTATTCACCCCTTGGGGCGAAAATAATGCGCTATTTTGAAACTAGTAAAAAAAATAGCTGGGATTAACTCGTATTTCGCTGATGACGGCTATTCAGAAAAACGCAAAACGGTAACCAACGTTAGGCTAAGAGATTTCCTACACAAGGCCTATTTTTTCAGTCTCAACCGTGGGTATATCGTCCGCATCAGCTAAATCAAGCAAGTGAGCGCAGTAGCAGAACCTCCACGAGACTATGCTTTATCGGCATAGCTAAATTATCCTTGTTTCTCAATTTCAGATTTTAATAATTTTATGTTGAAAAAAACATTTATCGGCAAATGGTACTACTGTACATAGTTATACGTCCTTCATATTTCCTTACGTCCAAAGATCTTCCGAAATATAGGAAAAGTAGAATGGAAACTTTTCAGTCTTTTCCCATTTCGAATGTGAACTAATTTTAACTTTCCAGCCATGAGGCTTAGAAAAAGAGGTTCTCTGTTGGGACATACGGTGAATGGCATTTCAAACTGAGAATCATGCAATAGATGGGTGAAAAAATCACAAAGTTCAAGGGGACAATAATTAGGTAAATTATTGCAATAACGGCGCAGTGAAATTTCATCGTTATCCTTTCGTTCCACTGGACAAAAACAAATTTTAGCTTGAGGAGAGTCGAAAAAAGAACAAAGGTGCAGAATCATTGGAATATTTTTGAAACATGTGCCCCAGACTTTTTTCATGGGCCAAAAATTAAGGCACTTTTCCCTGTGAAGAGCTATTGAGATCAGCCACCATAGATTTACGAGTCTTGAACATGACTTGCCTTCTTACTGACGGTGACCATTCTCATCTTGCTGGCCATAGCTAGTAGGTTGCGACAATGTGATCAGTACTAATCAATTAATTCTCTTTTCTTTTGATTTTGCGCTTACTTTTGCGCTCTGGAATTTTAGTTAATTTAATAATCAGTTTATAATGGTTTCATTGCCTCTTTAACAAGGGACAGAACTTCAAAAAACCCTATCAATTCGTAAGCAGAACCTGCTAGTTCCCGTCTGACGTATCCAGTCAAGTAATGCAAAATTCATTTGCCGAACATTTATGCCCCCAATGGCTGTATTCAATAGTATTCTGATCATTCCTACAAATGTCCCCTTGCAGATGGGTTTTTGTGCATAAAAATACTACCATTTGGATCACAGCGTTGCAGCTTTGCCTTTTCGTACTTTAAAACTTGATGAAACTTTAAATCACTCGCTTACTTGGCCGTTTTATGACCACAATCAGATATAATAGGATAACTTAGTTTACCAACGGAGTTGATAACGTAAATTGGCCACCAAACATTGTCAAAAACACGACCAATGATCTTAGAGCTGAACAAGAGCTGCCGGCCACTGCAAAAAATCTCACCATCACCTCTCCTAGAACTGGCACCTACCGTCAAAACCTTACCATCAAACATTAAGGAAAGTCGACACGCACTTGAATTTTTTCGCGACTTACATTTCCTTGGCCGGAAATGGTGGCCAGGACATACTTCTTTTCACTATGAATATTACATCTTTTTATACTGTCCTTCCCAAGACGAAGGTCTCCTGGCCCTCATATATTTCTCGATCAACGCACAGTTGGGGAACCTAGCTCTAAAACACTACTTCGTCTAGGCGAACTATTACTAACACTCAACTGTTTTTTATTCTGTGGCAACTACTACAAACAAACTAATGGCGTAGCCATGGGGCCCAAAATGAGACCCAGCTACGCCAATCTCTACATTGGTGTTATCGAACATCAATTTTTAAGTCAATAAAACGGCCCCAAACTTGAACTTTATGGTTGCACATTGACAACTGCATCGGCGCTACCTCCTCTGACAGAGAGGAGCTCACTTAATTTATAACCCCCGTCAGTTCCTTTCACCCGGCTCTGAAATATACCTGGCAAATTTCTGACACTTAGTTGGCTTTTCTAGGCATAAACATTTCAGTTGACGGCAATGATCTCTGCACTAGTGTTTACTACAAACCTACAGACTCATACACATAGTTACTTCTTGTATTCATCTTCGCATCCATCACACGTCAAGAATTCCATACCTCTTTCACAATTTCTCAGACTTTGTTGTTTATGTGGTGACGACTCTGATTTTCCGACATATCAGAGGCAATGTGCTAGTTTTTGATAAAGGTGGCTATTCTGTTTCTGTCGTTCAAGTGGGCCACCACGAGCCCAGTAAATTGATCGATAGTCAGTATTAACGGTCATGGAGAGGTTTGGCGGGGGACTGGCACTAACAAAAATTATCAGTGCCAAACCCCTAAGAACGCCAAGGACCGCTCGCTGGCTAAAAGGCTTGAATGTACTGAAAAACGATTCGTGGCACACAATTAATGTATACTTTCTCAATAATTTCAATCACTTCATCAAATTTGTTCCCAAAACGTAATCTCAAAATGAGCCCCATAAAAGTGTTCTTAAATTATGCCATTTGAATGTGCATTACGAAGTAAATTATAATTTAAAAAACAACGGTGCTTTCTTTCCTCCATGAACTGACCTTTTGTTTCTTGATGACAGGCTGTCAGCTCTTCGTGCTCTTCGATGAATTATCAAACGATTGCGCTCTGGTAGAAAGTTTATTTTAATTTTTTTCCTTGTGTATTCTTAGGCTTGAAGAAAAGCTACGGAATTTGAGAAGTCAAAGACCGAAACTATCAACAAACCCAACGGTTGTTGATTACATGGAGTAATATATTACTTGGGCGTTGAATGATTAACTTGGCTAGACATAACACTGCACAGAGAAATGGCAGCTCCAAATTCCAAACACAACATTACGTTTTGTTCTTTCTCCTGGTAACCGTTTAAAACTCTCCAAAGAATAATTGCGAAACCACCATATGCATGGTAATGAAGAAAAAAATTATTTCGTGAAAATGTATGTTGTGTTACCCTCTTGTCCGGCCATAGGATGGTCATAAAACGAAAAGACATCTACTCAAGTTTCACAAGGGGCTTATTCAGGCTTAGTTCTCGCGCGCACACGAACGACTCATTGGCCAAGGACTCTGTTGCCATTTTGCCTCTTCTAGATGGTCAGAGACTAGTGTCATTGGCAGTCAACTGAGCGAGGACGAAACATGCTTCGTATAACTTTCCTTCGCGTCCTGCTGCTCGGTTTGTTTGGGATTTCAGCGACAACAGCACGTAAGTATGTTTTTCAGTGTTGTTCTGGTAACGTGACTAGTAATCTAATGGCATCGCTGAAGTCGCTACGGATTCTTTCTATTAAACCGTACTTTACACGATCGAAGAGTTTTATAAAGCTTATGTTTTAAATTAATATTTTGCTCAGGGTTATGACAAAGAAAAACGCTCAAATCTATCATCAAGCTTTACGGGAATTGCACATTTGGGCTCGTCAAACATAATGACCTTTTGTTAACTCCTTATTAAATGGTCTTTCGTTGAGTAGAGCGCCATCACCGCTATGCAAGTCGTTTAAATTTTGATCCACGCTGTTCCTAACTTTTTAAATCGATAAGGTTCCTTCTATGTCCTTTTAAGGCTCCTTCCCCTAACCAACATTAACAATGGTTTGACAAAGAAGTATTTGATTGATTTATAAACCTAGACAGTCCGCTTTGTATGAAACCCTGGAGCGAACAGATAAAGTTTACAGAGTTGATAAAATGAAGGGAGTTTATTTCGTTCATCGCTACAGTTACACAAAGAGCCAAAGGGGTCTAATTTGGTATGAGGTGACAGGATATATTCGCAAGAGTCTCCCACAGAAAATGTAATTTCAAAAGTGAGATGGATGGAATACTTGCTTGTGAATATTAAATTACTTCAGAAGAGAGCTTCTGTTCATATGTTTTTTGTACCTCTAGCTTATTCAGGTTTTAGATTTAGCTTTCGGTGGAAAACAACGAAGAGATAGAAGTGCTTTAAGTAAAACGAAATCCACTGCGCTGCTAACCCAAAGAATACACAATTACACCACGTCACGCAACACCCTTGTGGATTGTGACGTGTGAACAAAACAGCAGTTGTCACCATTACAAAAGAAGAGTGGGAAATATTAGCTTTTTTTCGATGGCGAATCTTTTATTTAATAGAGAGTTAAGGCTCGTGGAAGACACCCTTAGTATTGAAAAATTGCTCATTTTATTGTTCCAAACTCGAGAAACCTTAACCCTTTAACCCCTAAGAGTGGCAAGGGTCTAATTTCTCCTTACAATATCACCCCTGAATCAAATTTTTAAGTCGTGAGAATAAAGGAAATGATCAGCAACTAACGAAGATCTTGGTGGTTTTATAAATTCTCCTTTTAAGAACCTAGGTAATGTATAGAGAACAGTATGGAGAATATGCATACTGATGTTAGGATGTAAAGAGTTAATAGGGTGAACAACGGAAATTTGTCAAAAATATCCCTATAAACCATTTGACCCCTTGGAGTGACTAGCATTTAATTTCTCCCTACAATAACACTCCTGAATCAAACATTAAGGTCGCGAGAATAAAGGAAATCATCACTAACTAAAAAGCTCTTGATCATTGAACAAATTCTCCCCGTCAGCGCCTCAGTAGATGTATAGAGAACACTAAAGAGAATATGCATACTGATGTTAGTTTGCAAAGGGTTATGTTTTGTTTTTCCATTTGTTTTTCATTCAAACAGAGCGATTGGATGACCCATGTATTCTTGACCTGGCATTCATCATAGACGCATCTGGTAGCATCGAGCCTTATTGGGAAGATGTTCGGAAGTTTGCCGCCGGAGTCGCGAAACTGGTGAACATATCGTCCGATGGATCCCATGTTGGAGTGGTTAAGTTCGGCGAGACATCCAAAATAGAATTTGGGTTCAATGGAGGGCAAAACGAAAACACTGTTGTTCGAAATTTGCTTAATCTAGATCCCCCTATTCCGGGTTCAAGAACCATGCTGCACTCAGCGCTCGAAAAAGCAAACGACGACCTTTTCAACCCACAGACAAATAGCTTCCGAGAAGATCCCAATGTACGGAAGGTAAGGCGGTTTATTTCACCATTAATGGAAATTTAAACGTCCGAAGAAAACTCGAAACTTTCGAACACAAAGCTTGTTTATTCAAGAACTTTGTAACGTATCTTGTTTTGAGCTTTACCAAAAAAGTTCTACGTTTTTAAAACACTGTCTCTTACTGGCTAACGAGGTTGTTTGTAACTCATGTGAGATAACTTGGTTCTGACAGCCTAATAGCACGCCACCAATCATATTGCTTAGTCATTGCAAATTCTGGGCATGTGCAATCTGTTGTGTTATGAGTACCTCAAGGCACGAAGCAGATAAGAACTAGAAAGGAGGGAAAAACCATTTTTTCCTCACAGCCAGACATGGACACCTGATATTTAACCATACTTTTCTTTTTTTTTACGTAAAGAGTGGAAAAGTCACAGGCAATAAAATTAATCTTACTGTAATGACTTAATTTCTGCATGCCTCTCTGGATCAATATTAGTATCTGGGCAACTGCCCACCTACTCCTCCTCTAATCCTTCACCGCTAGCTAGGTCGTTTTAATCAATTTGTCCTCACGGCCAGACATGGACACCTGATGTTTAACCCTTTCACTCCCAAGATCTAATTAGTAATTCTCCTTACTATCTGCCATACAATTCCTATGATGTTAGTTCAGAGAATTTGGTATTGGATCAACTAATAATCCCATGATTGATATTCTTCTATTCTCATCACCCGCCCGCTTGATATTGTATTGATATTGTTAGAGAAATTCTGCCCTGGTCACTTGTGATGGAAGGGCAACCAATTTTTTTTTACGTAAACGGGTGGAACAGTGATAGGCAATGAAATTAATCTTACTGCAATGACTTAATTTCTGCATGGTGTTCTTTCCCTCAGGTTGTTTTAATTATTAACCGATGGTGCGCAAACCCCTCCAGAAAGACCCGAAATACCAGCTAACAAACTGAAAGAAAGGGTTTTGAGATTTCCACGCCATCGGTGCCGGAGATGCCAACTACATTACAAGGAATTGAAAATTTAAAAAACAAAGATTTGTTCTTTAATAAAAGGTTAAATGATCTCTCCACGAAAGTTGTTTGATGTGGCACAAGCACTCTGTCCAGGAGTGCGTTATAAGATAATTGGGCCACTGTAGAGAGAGATACCAAAGCTGATATTTTGTTGCCTGCTCTTCGTCAGAGTTTAATTAAACATCATGCAGAGCTAATGCTTTAGACGTCATAATAGAAATACTTAACAGTGGCTAATTTACATTAACAACTCAGCTGGGTGAGACCAAATTATTTTGTTATACCCT